ATAAATGTTAATGTAATTGAATCTGTTTTTGATATTATCGAATCCTCATTATTCCATATTTTTAATCTCTCCCTTAAATCAGGTCTTATTCCAGATAAACTAAAAATTGCAAAAATAACACCTATTTTCAAATCTGGCGATGAGACCAGTATTTCAAACTACAGAACAATTTCAGTCTTACCCTGAAATTTATATTTTTCGTTTATACACAGCTATCTTTCATACTGTAACATTTCCTGGGGTAGCACTAATCACACTAAACTTAAAAAAGTTTATAGTAAACAAAAACATGCTTGCATGATAGTATTTGGGGCAAATAGAAAAACACAATGTGAACCTATCTTACGTCAGCTTGGAGCTTTAAATATTTATAAGCTTAATATTCATCAAGTAATGTTATTTATGTTTAAAGCAAAACTTGGGTTTCCTCCAGTAACATTTCAATCCTACTTTAATGTAATCTTCCATAAATATCCAACCACATTTTCAGTGAATAACTTTGTGGTTCCCATAAACCTTCTTAAATTAAGTTCGTACCAAATTCAATATCGGGGACCTTTAGTTTGGAAAAAATTTCTTCCAATCTTTAATAAAAAACAAAACTTCGTTTTAACTGCACTTTGCAAAGTTTTAAGGATGATTCAAAACGGCATTTACTGAACATGGAATTCAATATTTTAGATTTCAAATACCTTTTTTGAAAACAGTTTAAAGGTTTAAACTAAATCACTTAAAATAAATGAAATCTTTAACACTTTCTTTAGCTTTTATTAAAATGGTTTCAAACCATTAGTATAAAAGATAACGAAAATAAAATAGTCTTTTTCGTTCATATTTTGATGATATTAAATAATCAGCCCAAATACTTATATTTACATATATTGTTTTTTTTAATTAAATAACGCATTTTTTTTTTGTGTTTTTATAACTTTCATGATTTTCTGTCGTTTTTACTTTTTTATTTTTAAAATTGTTCTGGTGGAAGATTGTTAGCAACAAATTATTTTAATGCTGAAGTTTTTTTGTTTTTGTTTTTGTATTTATACTGTCTTTTTGTCTTTTATTATTTATTGTGCATGTAAATTTTTGTGTGACGGGGCTCGGATATAAGACAACCTGTCATCTTCGGCCAGGATTTTTTTTATTGTAATTTCTTTTTTGTAATATTTATCAGCGGCAAAATAAATAAATAATAAAAAGAAATTAAAAAAAAAAAGTTTGAAGTATAATAGTATAAATAGATTAGTATTTTTTAAACTGTAACTATTTGATTGAGCATAATAAAAACCAGCTCGTTTTTACTCAGGAAATTTACGTAGTTTTATTTGGTTTAGAAAAATGGCTTGAAAGTATTTCTGATAGATTTTCAATTGGGTTAGATCTGAACTACATGCGGGCCACTCTATTACGTCAATGTATTTTTCTCTAAAGCAATCTTTTGTATTATGAATAGCAGCTTTATCTTGTTGTAAAATGAAATCTTTACACATTAATTCTTCACCATGTTGAAACAAACTAATTTCTAGTAGGCTAATGTAGTCCTATGAATTTATTATTGTTGAAATCTATGTTAAGAGAAGTTTTCCAACAAATAAAAAAGCACTCTCCCACCCCCCAAACCATAGCAGTTCCAGCACCAATTTTACGACTCAAAGTACCGACACCAAGTTTCTTCCTCTTTTTGAAGATTATACCAGTAATATTGATAACCATTAGGATTATCTAAACTGAAAGTTTTTTCATCACTAAAGAGAACATGATGCTACTCTTTCTGCCAAGACGTGTGTTCTTTTACTGTTGTTTAGCTTTTTTTATGTCGAACAGTTTTGGTTCTGGTTTACGCTTTTTCTAAACTATGGAAAAAGTGGATCTTGGATTTTTTTGTATGATTTGATGCACACGTTAAACAGTTAAAGTTAATTCTAAATCAGCATTTGATATGCAGTCACGTGCTTAACAAATGCACTACGTAAACTAGCTCATTTAGCGCAATTATAAATTTTACGGCTGCCACTACTTATTTTATAAGCTCATATTAAACGCCCATTTTTTAGTAATTATTACTTTAATTACTAACTTTTGGAGATCTTTTAATTTTCTTTGCAATTTTCCTTATTATATCTGATTTGATCAAATCAAAAAGGTTAAAAAAGTTAGAAAGTTGCAAATGAAAAAGAGTAGAAGAAAAACTAATGAGAGAAAAAAAGTTAGAAAGTTGCAAATGAAAAAGAGTAGAAGAAAAATTAGAGAAAAAAAGATCAGATGACTTAAAACGAAACTAATGCTCAACAAAATTGCAAACATAAAAGTTTTGAGGAGTTTAATTTTGATGATAGCGAGATTTCTATTAAAAACTCAGGTACCAAATGTTTAAAAAAAATCTAGAAACAATAAAGATATCTAAAGTATTGCATTGGCCACAATTAGATGTGGTGTTGATTTCAGAACAACTGCAGAAATAGCTACTGCACCATTGGTAGATTGTATCCAAAAATGATAATAGTTTTCACAGTAAAGTTTGAAGAGCTAGGGATAAAGTTATGAATGAAGTTGCTAATCAGTTTGATAATTACTTTTTATATTTGATAATTAGATCCGACTAAAATATTTTTAACTTTAGTAAGATCAGACAGAAAGTACCCTGCTAAAATCATATAAGAACATTACACTGTTTCTTCTGGTGATGTGAAGTATTTATTTTGCTTCACAACAACTAACAAAGCAGAAAAGACACACGCTGATAATATAGCAGATAAAATCTTTGAGTTTACTAAAATGAGAAAAATTAGCACACACTTTACAACAACTGGTGGAGACTTTACCAGAAAGCGCTAGTTTGGAAGGAGGAGTAATGCACTTATTGGAGCTAAAATTAGGGGCGAAAGTTAAATTGGACTTTCTGTGCTCTACACACCAATGATTTACCATTAAAACATCTGATTAAATAGTTAGATATAGAATCTAAAAGCGTTAACAAAATGCAGTGGACCAATTGAAAGCTTATTTGACGAAGCAACCAATCTTGAAATTAACCATTTTTTTTGCTAAGATGATATTGTTGAGCCTCTTATTAACTTGAGAAGTAATGTAGTGAAAGATCTTTCTACTGATCAGTGTTATGGCTACTAAATAGTTCAAACTATATGCAGTGGTCATATTTCTCAGCAACTAGAACTTCTTTAAACTCTGTTAACATATTTTCACATATATAACCATTGCACAACACCTTAAGCGAGAATTTCAAAACATAAAATCTCTTTTGTCAACTCATTGAAAAATAAGCTAAAAATACGCATGTTAATGCTTAGCTAGATAAAAAAACAAAATGTTTGTTTGTAATGTTTGTTTTTATTATTTAAGTTACATAATTTAATTTTTTATTGCAGAACAATCTTCTATTTCTAAGGTCTTGCAAACAACGTGAAAACGAAATAGTCCGGGAGCCAGATACAAACTTATTTCTTCTCGAGCAAAATAATAATAATTATATTGTTGAATAGAAATATAATTGAAAAGGAATATATTCAAAATTAGTTATAATAGAAATGAAATAAAGGTATTTTAACAATTTTTGATACAAGAAAGATATTATTTTATAAAGTAAACCAAAATTTTTCAGAAGTTTTTACCGTCTTTCTCAGAATTTAAAACTTTAATTGTTTCTTATTATTTTATTTAGTATTTTTTTGTTCTTTTTGACAATCTAAACTTCAATTTTTCAATATTAGTTTATTACTAAGTATCGGATAATAGTTATATAACTAATGGAACTATCCTGAAAGGGGTTTCTATAAACAAAAAAAATTTACTCATCAAATATAGTGTAAAATATTTCTTGGATTTAAATCTAGGCTCAGCATAGCTCTAAAGCAAAGAGCGTTCAATTCAAAAATTATCAATAACTTTGAAAAATTTTCTTGAACCAATATGAACTAACTAATTTACTGTAAATAAATTTGGAAATACTTTTTCTTGTATGCACCCAATTATTGCTTGCTCAAAAGTTAAAGATTCAATGCCTTTTATAGCATCAACATTACACCATCAACACAAAATTAAAAATTCCGATCTAGTCATGCATTGTCAGTCCTATTTATTAGTCCCTAGCCATTTATTATCGATGTATAATATTTGATTAAGTGAATTTGCCGAATACCGAATAGTCGGAAAGCGTTCAGCCAAAGCACCGAACATGTGGTTGCTGAAAATTTGGAAACATTTAGTTGTTTTGATGGTTCAAACCTGCTTCATTGAAGTGCGTATGTTAACTACGTTGAGGGCATTTTTATTTTATTTATGGCTAGGTCGTGTCAAAGCACACATTATTTGTCGAGTGTTACATCAAATTGTTTTAACTATAGTTATGTATAAAAACATCATACTCTTCAAACCATTCAAAAAGATTACAAAAATAACCAGCTCAGGTATATCATGCATATCTGAAGGAAATTTTAGAAGTTTTTATAGATAAATAAAGCAAAAAACTCTAAACTTATTTAAAATGATATTTTCAAAGCAACCTGAACTTAAAGCATGGTTTAACGTTATTATGAATCTCAATTAAACGATTACCTTTTTTTTATTAATGCACGTTAAAAAATTTCATGAGACCAGTTAATACACAACAAACAAAACAAAACAAAAAAATTAAATTTTACGAGAAGTTAAAATACTTTTGAAAGGCATTGAAATGTCTAAATGATCATTGCATTTGTTTATTCGAATATTTTTTGCAACATTAAGTGCATGAGAAAAAATACCAGAATTTAATTACAGCTTTAGTGTGTAGATCACAGGTCTAACTGTTTTAGTTCGAAATTACAATATGACTACATATTTTTCAAATCCTGGTGCCTTTTTTTTAAATTCTAAAAAAGATTCATCAAATTCTTTAAAGTTTATTTTCATATTCACGGCTTTTTAATAATTTGAAATTTGATAGTTTGTTTTTTTGGTAAGTCCAGTAAAAATAGTAAAATAAAAATAAATGAAAAGACAAGTTAAGTTCGAATAACTTATATTAAATAATACTGATCGCTAAAACTTCAAAGTGATACAGGTTAGAAGATTTTATTTATCTTTGCATGGTCCATTGCTAACGGCAATAATAGCTTTTTCGTTCATGCATGCAACACTTTTCATAACGCATTCTGTGGCGTAGGTTTTTCCATCTGATCCGCATACTGGATTATATTCTCTTGTACATAGGATCGAACAAGCTGAAAAGAAAAATGTAATTTATATTATTTAGTTTATTTTTATTTGATATTTATTATTCGATTATTTTAATATTTCCTCCATTTTTATTAGAAACACACTTTCCTCATTTTATCAAAAAAGTGACAGTTATAATTTTCAGAAAGCTGTGTGGAAACATTTATTTTACTTTAAAATTTAAAATCTTTTTTTTTTCTCACTCATTTAAGTTAAAAAAAAAAAACATAAAGTTTTTTGTTTTTAACTTAATTGAGTAATCGGCTCTTTAACTGAACAAATTCTTATATCAAGAGTTTCTTACAACAAGCTGCTAGTTTGAGTTTTGTTTAAATTTCTAGCTTAATTGTTAATAAAAGATTGTCTATAACCGAAGGGATCCAGACAATGGGGGTGGTGGTTTGGTGAGTCGATATTTTAATTAAGTCGGTAAGTGGAGTTTGATTTTGTTTCCAGTTTTTTAAGTTAATTTTTTTAAATATTATTCTTTCACTGTCTTAATCTATGTAACTATGAAATTATGTTATTCCATTATACCAATATAATTAGAAAGAGTACGGTTAAGGCATACGTGGGGTAACTTCGAACATGGTCAAAACAGCATGATAGAAAAAGATAGTTGACAATTTCTTTTTGCCTGTTAAGAGGGGGTCTTATACTGGGCTCGTAAATCTCAATAAATTAATCCTAACTTTTTCTGATAATTTCCTGTAATTTTTTGCTTGAGAAACATTACTGTTGTAGCTACTTAGGATAAAAAACAACTCCTTTTGTTGTAAAATCATCATAATCAAGGATTTTTAAACACGTATTATATTTTGGGTATGTCAAAAGAACCTCAATAGATTAACCGTATTTCATTTACTTGTGTCCGCAGGAAAATAACAAACGATCTTTATGGGGTAATTTTAAACGTCTGAAGTATCATTGATATCATACAGACGTCAGGCAGCCAGAACTTTAATGTTTCTTACTTTTGTCACATTTTAACAGATAAATCGTTAGATACGTAATTTCATTTATTAGAGTGAAAACCAGAGAATGTTTAAGAAAGAAACACTCCACTGTTATTACTAGTTCGCCAATAAGAAATATTTTAGAGCAAAAGAAAAGTAAGAAGAAAGAAGTAAAAAATACTACAGGTAAAATTAAAAAGAGAAAGAAGAACTTAAATCTGTTAAAGGCTGGTCATGTACCATCATGTAAAGAACCATAATACCATCATGTAAAGAAAAAAAGAGAACGTAGGGAATACAGAACTATTTTGCTTAATTTGCGAAGTAAAGTATAAGGATTCTTCTCTTCCCCTATGTATCAGCCCTTAAATTGATCACTTTTTTTTAAAAACTATAAACAATAAAAATATGTTTTACATTTTAATTGCATTAACAAAAAGGTGTAATAAATTTTATTTTTATAAATAAAATATTTTTGCAAATAATACGAAAGTTTTTTTTTCATAATAAAGGAAGCTGTAATGAATGTCTTTCTTAAGAAGAACGGTAATATAATTATACTAATTTATGCCAAGAGCTTATGGTATTATATAGTATCTTGTTAGATAAAATTTTACTCTGCTTTAACATTTTAATATATTTTATTATTTTATTTTTTTGAGTAATTTCTGCTGTAAACGTTTTTTTACTTTGAACATTTTTAGTTAAATAAACTCAACCGTTATTGTTTTCTATTTTAAACATGATTTACAGTAAACATGGTTTAACATGTCACCGTATGTAACATATGACGTTTTAAAAAGTTTGAAAATGCTTTAAAAAATTTACTTACATTTACAATCATCTTTTTTAAGAGCTCGTTGAACAACAATAATAGCTTTCTTTTGTTTGCATGCAGCTTGTCTCAAAACACATTCGTTCGAGTAAAGGTTTTTGTCACTACCACAAACTGGAGCATATATTTTGTTGCAAGCAAGATTGCAGTCGCCTGATATGAAAAAATTAAACAGTTAGAAATTTGCATAAAATTAAAAAAATATTGTTATGATATTACTATTATTTACCTTTAGGGTCGCATTCGCCATCATACACTTGAACTATGGGCTTCTGACTAAGACAAGATTCAGATTTTAAGGCACAATCGCTGTCATATGTTTTTCCGTCGTGACCACAAATCGGTGCATAAATCCTTGGGCATATTTGGTTGCACTTTCTTTCTGAAATTAATTTGATATATATATATATATATATATATATATACATATATATATATATATATATATATATATATATATATATATATATATATATATATATATATATATATATATATATATATATATATATATATATATAATATTATTAATGCTGATCAGATAATTTCAACTGGCATTTTTAAGATATATAATTAACAAACTTGCCTGCATAAGCAGCAACCAACAAAGTCATAATTACAGCAATACACTTCATTTTTTTCTAAAAAAAGAGACTATTAGAGCGCATCAAATTTTTTAAAAAGTATTTACATAAACTTACAGTAATAAAAGTTAAAGTTAAAGGTATAAAAATTAAAAGAATATATCTTACAGAGTTTAGTAAGAATACTTAACAATGTGTTAAGAACTGCTCCTTAATGTTTATGTTATAATAAATGTAAAAATTTTATCTCTTATATTCCAACAACAAGAGGCTTTGTTGGCTTTGTGTTTGTTTAGCTGCACAGCTAGTTAAAGAAATTCAATAAAAGATGGATTATAATGAGACGAAAATTAAATAAGCAACATCGATTATAAACAACACATCTTTAATACACCAGTTCAACAAATAAAGTTCTATTTATCCTCTTTATACTCAAAATCTGTTCCTATAAACAACTTTAACAAATATGAAGAGTTTACAATGAATGTCGTTATCAACAATTACTTAACAAACAAATTGGTGTCAAAGGATACTAGACAAAATTATTCACTAAAATTGAATTCGACATTTTTGGTTTTAAACTTTTAAAATATTTTAATTTTTATTAGTTCTTGTAAAGTACATCATAACATCGTTTAAAAAGCACACGACTTAGAGATAAGAAAATTTCTTCAGAAAAAAGCAAACGATGTTTATAGTTGTTAATTGAATTGAGGTGATTGAACAAAAACATTTTTAAGAAAAAAAAAAGTAAAGAACTATGTTTTTCAGGCTTTGTATAAAGTATTTTTAAAATTTGTTATTTTGTAACATTGGTTGTAAAATTTCCTCTTTGAACATTATTTAGGTTTCTCCAATTTTACTAAAATATCAAACTTGAAATAACACATCAAAACTATGTAAAAATATTGTGTGGGGTCAAAACACAAAACTAAAAAGTGGTTAAGAGACATCAATACGTTTGTGATTAGAAAGCCAAAATACATATGCTAAAATCAACTTTTTAAAAATTAACTTAAATAAATTTTTTATAACAAGAAATTTTTCCTACTTAAAAAAAAAGATGGTTCATTAAGGAATCAATTAATGAGATTTATTTAATAATGTATTAATTTGGTCTTTAGATTCTTAAATTAAACAAAGCGAGAAATGCTAAAATCAAAACTTTTTTTTTCATTTTTATTTATAACAAACAAAGAAACATGTAAAAGTATAAACATGTAAGAGTTGGAATCAATTGAAACTATTTAACTACCACACCAAACTAAGCATATTTAGTATAGAGATGAACTGCCCAACCATCCATAGAGTGGCACTATCAAAAACTGTAATATATCGAGTATAATCAGTTAGGAGCGTTGCCAAGAAAAAAAATTAAGAAACCTTAAAAAAAAATAGAGCAACTATTTTTTCTATAACAACACTTGGTTACACATCCAAAGAACACTGAAAAGATTTTGTAACATTGCAGAATGGAGTAGTAAAAGTGCACCTGCTAACACAAGCAATTGTTTGAGTTGTTGTTTTTATTAGCCAAATAGAGTAGACATAGAAGCGGCAGCCAATCCTAAATCTGATATCTCATCTGTGACATCATTATATCATCATCTGTGACTAAATCTCATATCTCATCCGTGACATCTTTATATTATCATCTGTGACTAAATATGAAATCTCATCTGTGACAGCTTGGGGCTTGCACTGGTTTGTGAGTTTTAATTTCAACAAAACTCCAGTTAATTTAATAATCGAGGTAATAATCTAGACTTCTAATAATTTTCGCAATATTGTTAATAGTTTAATCTTGATGAACGGAAATAACCCTCAACACCCCTAAAGAGTTTTCACAACATCCTTAACACCCTTACTTAGTCATCTGCTTAAAATCATTTTGAGTTATCATTTACAATTAACCCTACATGAAAATCATATACAGAACTCATTGCAAAACTAGCATCTGATGAAGTTGCCTCCCTTTACGGTTCTTGACATTTCTTTATTCCCAATCCATCCTCTACCTATACAAACCTCTTATTTACCCCTGTGTGGAATACTGTTGTCATATTTAAAATGCTTCTTCTTATGACGCTCTTTCTTCTGAAAGTTATTAACAGTATTTTAGTATTTCAATAATTGTAAAAATTATATTCTTTAAGCTCTCGCCTAAAAAGAATCGTATTTACATTATTGAAACCATTCCAAGCTTGCTCTGAGCCGTTCTTAATGGGGCCGTAATTTTCAAAAATCTAAACTGTGAAGCTCTAAAATCTAAATGTCATCAATAAAAATCTCGTAGTAAATATAATTATATAAATTTTTTGATATTTAGCAAGTATTTAGGGCGGTCTCTAAATCATTGGGGTCTGGGAATTATTTGATTCTCCCTCATTGTTTTACTCCATTATGATTTAAATAATGATTTTAATATTTAAATTAATATCATTTAAATAATAATAACATCATATTATAAGATGTTAAAAAATACAAAGCGAATATAAACTACTTTAGTATTTTAATTTCAATTTGTTTTTAAAAAAAAATTTATTTCCGCATTTCGGCTAAATCGTCTTTTAATCAACTTAGTCGATTTCATAAATGCGTTAGTCGATCTTAGTTGATTTTAGAATATACATTAGTTTAGTTGACTGTGGAACTATCTAAAAGTTGTAGCAACACTAATTAAGAAAGAATAAAAGTCTCTGCGATGGTTATAATACACACAATATGAAATTTTAGCAATGAGATACGAGTTTAATTTAAAAACGCGTAATTTTTTTTTGGAAAACAAATATTATTAAACTTCAAAATGTTGTTTGTAATGTTTGTTTTTATTATTAGAATTATAAAATTTAATTCTTTCTACAGAAAGTCTTTTGATTTTTAAAGACTTTCAAACAACGTTATAACAAAATAGTCCACGAGCCAGGTACAAATTCGGCCGAATATTTCTTTTCGAGCAAAATTTAAATTGAGCTGACCATACCCATTAGCATTATTGCCAGAGAACGTCCGTCGGACATTTGAATGTACGTCTAAGAGACGTCTAACCGACGTCCTCCAAACAATGCGTGCCCTCTGAGTAATATGTTGGATTAAACATCAGCTGGCTGCTTAAACATGAAAAAAAAAATTATATTTTCAATAATTTCTTCTAAAATGAAAATTTAGCAGGTTATAGTTTATATGCCAAGTTGAATGAAAATTAATGTCAGTTTGTTGTTTCTTTGTGGAAAGTTTATCAGCTGGTATTTTAAATTGTGTAACGCAGCACCTATTACCTAAGAATCTTATTAGCTGATAACTTCTGTCTTGACTTACAGCTTGCTAATTTTTTTTTCATTATTTATTAGAGTATCCTAACAACCCTCTTAAAAAATTTTATCTGGCAGAAAATAATGTTGCTTAAGATATTTGGCTGAATGCTTGATTTTAGTATTTTGATAACAAATATGAAATTTAATAATGGAGGAAATCTTGTTATAAGTAAATTAATTATTAAATAATTTATTTTAGCATAATTTCTCAATTAATTAACTTTTATTCTAATTAAGTGATTAAATAAAATAACAACATTTAATAGGTTTTGTTCACGCTTTGGCTTTTATCTCTTTCTGATTAAATGTGAGAGTTACATAACAATAAATTATGGATTCTCGTGCTTTTATGACTTTTCAAACGCCAAGGGCCCGAGGGCGATATGGGTTCTCTTATCAGTTAGCATTGCAAGCAGAATGTGCAATGCAAGGGCAGGTATTGATCAAATTAATGTTAATGTAATTAAATCTATTTTTAATATTATCGAACCTTCATCATTCCATATTTCTCCTCTATCATTTAAATTAGGTAATATTCCAGATAAATTAAAAACTTGCAAAAATAATACCTATTTACAAATCTGGTGATGAGACTGATATTTTAAACTACAAACCTACTTTAGTCTTGCTCTGCTCTACCCTGTTTCTAAACTAATTGAACGCATTATTTATAATAGACTTTATAAACATTTAACAAAAAATAAAATTTTTTACTATAATCAATATAGTTTTAAAAAAACCATTCTACTGGTATTAGTAAGTTTCGTACGCATTTGTCCGTAGTCACCAGGTGCCTCATCCTCATCGATTGTCTCGTAATGCTTTAAAAAACTTAATCTTGATGAAGCCTTATTGCTATTAGGTTGCAATAAGTGAAACGCAAACGGAACTCTTTTGTCCCCATTTCAGAACATGCTTGGAACATTCTAATTTCTTTCAAATCGAGCAATCCGATGCACATTAGTCGGTTTGTTCTCTGATTTGCAAGAAATCTCTGTTCTTAAAAGAGAACTTTGGATTCCTTTGGGCAATTGCAGTCTGCAAACATAAAGCACATACAAGCTTCCAAATTAAAAAAGAAAGCGTGATTCATCTCTAAACTTCTCCAATCGTGCTTTAGTTGCTGTGCTTTTCTCTATTCTTTCATAAAGAATCTTGATACCGACATAACTTTTGTGATTTTCGTGATTCATATCAAAAACACGTTTTTTTGAAACTGTCGGAAAGAATGCATCAGAATACATTAGTTGCAGTTTTCACAAACGAAATGCGACTTGGAAGAAAATGTGGGTTCCTTATTACTAAATGTTTCAGATCCATGACGCCACCTTCCTGAAGCAATAACTTATAATAATTTATTACTTGTAAATTGGTTATCTAATTATTAATGATAGTAGGCCGGGTAAATAGAAAAAAGCAGTTGCTTTAACTCAGCGTTATTAGAGTAATTGTTCAGCTTTGCGTGAATAAAAACTTTAAAAAACTTTCTCAAACTTTTATTCACGTAAACCTAAGCAACTTACTCCAAAAACGATAAGTAATTGATCAGATTTACGTGAAATGTTTAAGGAAAATCTCATAAGGTTTTGTTCACGCAAAGCTGACCAGATATATATATATATATATATATATATATATATATATATATATATATATATATACATATATATATATATATATATATATATATATATATATATATGTATATATATATATATATATATATATATATATATATATATATATATATATATATATATATATATATATATATATATATATATATATATATATATATAATGGTGATGCCTCAGCATCACCATTAATTCACATTTGTCAGATCAGGTTTATCCTGCTACTGGTAACATGTAACCCAGTACAATCTACTTCATGTCCTGCTGCCTTGTAGGATATGCCTTTTAAGGCAAAGGCTAGGAGATGCCAACTCCAACATAAAACACCCCCTCCCTTGGGGCTCTTGGTTGAGTAAAGGCTAGAGATGATGTG